AAGAAAAGGAGCCGGCCATATTAACAGAAGCTGTGTACGAGTGGCCAACTTACAATCCAAATTACGTAGCGCAGTAACTGTTTCCATTTTCATTTTCATAAGGAACACTATCCCCAAACAACTCCCATCCCTTGTCCCTCCATGCAATCCCTCACATCCACCATGAACCCAGTTGCCAGATGCACAGTAGATGGACAGTAAATAAATAAAAAGCAAAGGTAAAAACAATAGTTTGCAAAAACATATACACAAAATAATACATGATTAAAATTAAAATAATCCTAATAAATCAGTACAAAAATAGATAAAGAAATAAAAAGGACTGATTTAATCTCTTGGAAAAAGATTCATCAGTGAGCAAGAGTCATCGGGGCTGGAGCTCCAACTCACCTGTAGTAGATCCATTTGTATGGGCTGTATGGCGGGCAGATACAGTAACTGGTCTACCTATACAGACATGAGCAAAATAGCCCGCTACAGTGACACTTCAGATAAAAATCTTTACAGAAGCTGCTTCTATTACTCATACTGTAATTTAAACAGCCATATTGTGCACATCCTTTATTATCCTTTCATCTTCTCATATCAGAATCAGAATCAGCTTTATTGCCAGGTACGAGGAATTTGACTCTGGTTTGTACGTTGCTCACGATGTGCTTACTCATACAAAAATACAAAATCACAATAATAAAAATAAAAAAATCAGACACAGGCTTTAGTGTAGTTATTGTCATTTTTATATTTTTAATTTGATATATTTATATTATTTATTATAATATGTATTTATAGGATTTTTCTATCTACCGCCTTCATTGTTCAGCACCAAAACACCAAAGCAAATTATTTTTATGGGTTATTTTTATGATTTTTCTGTTGTAGCTGGTCCATGTGGGGCTCGTCAGCTTGGTGGTTTAGTCCAGTGGCAAACCTGAGGGTCACAAGATAGATCTTCGGGGCTCCCATATGCAATTTGTGTTTTCAGTAGGTACACAGAGTGCTTGATTCTGCACTGTCCTATAATACCGTGCTTACTTTCCACCACTGATGCTGAGGCTGATTGATTGTAAAGGCAGATTGATTCAGTGTTCTGTCGTACCAAATTTGGCCACAAGGTGTCACTCTATCTATATCACTGACACAAGGTGCTCTAAAGCATCAGGGAGGAAAAGTGTAGCAGCATCATGCAAAGGATGATGGGAGACTGAAATATAATCAGAATTTATTTTCATGTAAAATGTATTTTTTCAGACACACACATACACCGATCAGCCATAACATTATGACCACTGACAGGTGAACACTGATTATCTCTTTAGCATGTCGCCTGTCAGTGGGTGGGATATGTTAGGCAGCTGGTGAGCGTTGTGTCCTCAAAAGCTGCTGTATTAGAAGCAGGAAAAAAAGCCAAGCGTGAAGATTTGAGCGGCTTTGACAAGAGCCAAACTGTGATGGCTGGACGACTGGGTCAGAGCGCCTCCGAAACGGTCCGCACTGGGTCAGCACCTATTAGAAGTGGTCCAAGGAAGGAAAAGTTGTGAACCGGCGACAGGGTCATGGACGGGCTGATGAAGGCTGGCCCGTGTGGTCCGATCCAACAGATGAGCTACTGTAGGTCAAACTGCTGAAAAAGTTGATCCTGATTCTGCAAGAAAGGTGTCACAGTGCAGACACAGGAGTCAGGCCTCAACGGGTCAGGACTGTTTTGGCTGCAAAAGGGAGACCTACATTATGACCACCTGCTGGCAGTTCTCTCTTCCTCCTTGCTGCTTGTACTGTAGCTCCAAAATTGCATGGCACGCAATGAAATGTGGAATGAGATCAGAGGTACTTCTCAAATTGATCCACATTCCTATTAAAACACCCACATGCAAACACTAAGAGCTGAAATCAACGTAAGCATTGCAGGGACGGGTGACAGTCGTTATTTAGGGTTACTGGTTGCATTTGAAGCAATAATTTTTACTTCCAATCAAAGTTTGGATGTTAACAAATCAGATAATGCAAAAGCAATTTATTGACAGTTACGGTCTTGACTGGTCTTGGATCGAGACAAGATCGAGGACAAGTACGGACGAGATGAGACCAAGACCGTCAAAAAGTGGTCTTAAGACCAAGACCGGTCTCGAGTACTACAACACTACTGAATACTGAGTAACTGAGTTACACTGAGTAGCCTATTAAATGCAATACTGTAAAATAGTTTTGTATTTTTTAGTGCAAATATTGTGGATTATGGCTTCCTCCATGGTGCTAGCTTCACAACACCAGTTTGATTTTGATAAGGCTATATGAGTAATAAAGGTTTAAATCAAGGGCAACTGGACTTGGTTGAAGATACTTGAAGACATTTTGTCTCTCATCCAAAAGACCCCTTCAGTCCTGACTGACTGGCAGCTATTAAACCTCGGGTGTTGTTGTCAAAATGATCGATACCTCCTGAGTTCGCCAAGTTCAGACTTCTGTACTTTAAAGCTCGAAGTTCGGCACGGGAATACAAACTCCCAGGAACAGTGTGACGGCCCCAGGGCCTCTGCCAGGGTGTGTGTGTTTTGCTGCAGGGTGAACTTCCTGCTGGAGTGGAGCTGAGGCCATCAGGCAGATCAGAGGCAGCTGGCCACTGTCTCCAGATTGCATAAAACCCGCCCCTTCCTGATCGTTGAGGGCCTTGACTGCTTTCTTTTTCCTGGTCCCCAGCACCACTTTTTACTTTTTTGTTTTGTTCAAGTTAACCTGGCACTATGTTTTGCCAGCCACATTTGTTAAGTCTTACCCCAAACATACTAATCTAGCATTTTACTACTTTAACAAAAAACTATAAAAAAATCTTTCACCCAAAACAACTGCATAACTTAACTTAAGGCTCCCCTTAATGTAAATAGACATAATTTGAACACAATACTACGTGGTTATAGGTAACGCAGGGAGGGAATAACAGCGAGCTCGTCAGACGTTTCCTAAAAATAAACACAGTTCACGAGTCCCGCACCTCGAGTTTGAGTCTGAGTTTGAGTTTTAAACTCGAGTCCCCATCTCTCCCGGACGACTACTGCTACTACTGTTACTACTACTACTTCTTCTTGCTGTACATATTCAACATAGTGATGAAACGCACTCTGTAGAGCAGTTTGTCCGTTTGGGCTACTGTAGAAACATGGCGGCGTCCATGTAAGAGGACCCGCGGTGTCTGTTGATACAAATGTCTCATTCTAAGGTAATAAAAACATAACGGTTCATATTGTGAGGTCTTTATACATCACTGAAAACATAGTTAGGTATATTATATGTTGCATTTATGTCAACAGATCCTCCTTAATATTACACACTGGACTTTTAAGACCTCTGTTTTCGTTTCCGCTGCACAAAGCAAAATTTATCCGGTCATCTTTTTTTTGTCTGTGCAACCGATTGCCGGTCGTCTTTTGCATCGGACATGCGCAATTGAACCTGCGTGACATCGATGTGACGTTGTGTGATAATTCCCCTATAAAAGCACTAGTTTGTCAAATGAGAGAGCTGGGCCTCCTTTTAAATGTTTGGCCCCTGGCCCCCCCTCAGAAAGCTCGAGCACGCCGCTGTCAGACAGTCCAGAGTCCTCTGCAGGCGGCTGTCAGGTCTGTGCACTGATTGGTTGGTCTGTTGTTCTGAATCCTGACTGTATCACACACACACACACACACACACACACTTCACGTCCATTTTGTGTGCTGAACTCACACTGAGCCTCTCTGGCACAGTTGCCATGGTGAATTTCTGACCAGCCAATCAAAGCTTGGTCTGCAGCGTCTGTGCAAACATGTCGCGCATGCTATATATAAAGACACACGCTATATAAACACACAGATATTGCATTTCTGCAGAATACTTGTAACAACACACATCTCTCTCCTTCCTCTCTATAAACTCGCCTTCGTGTTATTGCCATGGAAACTCAGCTGAGATGGCAGGACTGCAGCAGCAATGAGGGGAACAGGTGGAGAATAAGGGCGAATGAGGAAAGGCAGGACAGAGGAGGTAAACTGGGGTAAAAAGAGATAGTATGAATATTATAAAAAGGATGTAATATCTTTTATTTTCAATCAACCGACCTGTTAAAGTCTGAGCCACCGTTACTACACCCCTCTTTTCACCGTCTGTATTCAGGTCATCAGACTTTCTTGCTGAATCGCCTCTTTCATCTGAAGAAAACACCCTGATGTTGTTGCACCTCTTCCGCCCACAAAGAGGGTAAACATGGGTTCAGCCTCAGTGAGCACCGCTGTGTTTCTCGCTCTGTGTTCTCGCTGATCCAGCTTTAAATTACCTTATAATTAAATATCATAATGAGGCCCCATCGCTGTCATTACTGCTATTAATAGTCTGAATTGCTCCTTCCCTCTGCTCCTCCTGTGTGAGCACCTTCATCGCAATGATTTTCTGACCTCGCAATGCAACACAGGGCCCTTATCATGTCAGCTGACATTGTGCTTTAGTGGTGCATAAACCCCATAAATTTATTGATTGAACTTGGAGTTCTGGGGCCCCAGTTGGTAATAAAATATAGTCTTTTCTTCTCAAAGTACCTCTAACAGGGTAATAGATGTGCTATGGTAACATTTCTCTCTTTTCTCAAGCTTCTGATCTGCTTCTCTCTCTCCCAAACCTTTCAGTAGTGGACAGTAATTAAGTATATATATTTACTTGAGTACCTAAGTAGAAATTAGAGGTATCTGTACTTTGCTCGAGTATTTTCTTTTTATGCCACTTTCTACTTTTACTCCACTGCATCTCAGAGGCAAATATTCTACTTTTTATTTCACTGAAAGCTGACAGCTTTACAAATTAGGCTTTTTACACACAAAACATATGAAGAGTTTAAAAAATATGTCGTGTTTGTCATGGTGTTTGGTTGGTTGGGTGTGTTTTCAGTTGCTTCCTGTGTTTCTTTTCTAGTTTCTGGGTTTCACTAATGCTCTGGTTTTGTTTTTCTGTCTCCGTGTTCCTTGGTTTTGTGTATGTTCTATTTTGTGACATTGTCCCTTTTGTTTCTGTAAACTTAATGTTTCCTGTTTTAGTTTGTAGTTTAGTCTCTTGTCATGTTTCACTTCCTGTGCTTAGTGGTCTCACCTGTGTTAGTGTTTCTCCTGTTTCTGCTGTTTTTCAGTCAATTGTTCTCCATTGCCTCTTGTGCCTCCTGTGTTTTGTGGATTTACTTTCCGCTGGACTTTTGGATTACTCACCTGTTGTATTTTGGACTCTCTCCACATCACCTGTAAGTTTTCGTACTCTACCTGTACCGACTTCGTGTCTGCATTTGGGCCCAAACCCCCTGTTACCAGTTTTCAGCCGGCAGCTGGATGTCACAGTTTTGTTTTACTTAAACTACCCAACAGTTTATTTATAACATTTGTTGATTGACAGACATTTAATTGGGAACTATTTTGATGATTGTTTGTCATTTTTCATGTAAAAACATTTCATGGTTCACAAATGTGAAGATTTGCTGCTTTTCCTTTTCATTATTTTAATTTATTTTTTTTATCATTTTGAGGTTTAGACTGATAAAACAAGCTTTGAAGGGCAATTGAGAAAACATTTTTCACTATTTTCATATTTTTTTTTACAATGGAAAATATCAGCAAATTGATCCATAATGAATGTCTGAAACAACTACTACAATTAATGCATGAGTAATATTAATCTAATGATATAAGATATACTAGTTTAACGTCACAGGGGACATTTTACATTCTGCTTTGTGTTATTAAATTTTTAATACTTACTTTTTCTTGATTATTATATTTACATACTTATACTAAGACTTTCAATGTAGTACTTTTACTTGAAACAGAGTATTTTTTTACGATGAGGCATTTGTACTTTACTTGAGTATTTTCTTTTAATGCCACTCTACTTCTTAATCTACTTCACTTGCATCTCAGAGGGGAATATTGTACTTTTTAATGTAAAACATTTCATGGTTCCAGGTTACAAATGTGAAAATTTGCTTTTTAATTTGATTATTTTTATGTATCTTAATAATTTTGAGGTTTAGACTGACAAAACAAGCTTTGTGAAGGTGTCACTTTGGGCTCTGGACAACTGTGACAACATTTCTCACTGTTTTTAATAATGTTTTGAATTGATTTATGGAGAAAAAAATTTAAATTCTGCCTTTACTTGAATGCATGAGTAATAGTAATGATATATAACAGTCAGGAAACATTTTCCATTCTGCATTGAGTACTTTTACTTTTAATCAAGTCATATTTTTTAATGCAGGACTTTTACTTATAAAAGTAGAGTGTTTTTACGGTAAGGTACTTAAGTAAAGACTGAGTACTTCATCCACCACACCATCCTTTCTTCTTTCTCTAGATAACTAGCCAGAGTGAAATGGGTACAAACAGACGGACAGATTTTTAATATCAAACTTTTATTTAGTTACAGAGACACCACTGGAAAACAGAAACTTTAGGATGTCTGCCATTATCAGTACACTGTCACTGTTGTACATGTTCACAGAGTCAGTTCAAATAGAACAGTTGAGTAGATTAGTCACAAAGGTCGCTCGTCCACACTACAGTCAGCTTTCAACATAAACCTGCTGGACCACATATGACAGCATTATAGTCCAAAGCAGATCAGTACTTCGTAAAGTTTCCTCGATCCAACAGTTGTGTTGTCTGTCCGGTCTGTGAAGAAGGGCAAACGGGAGCGGACTGTGGGTTCATGTGAAGCGTAGTGTTGCAGTCACAGACAACTCGATAGTAGCTATCTTTACATGTACACATTATTTAGACACATCCCAGTTAAGGTCTTGACGTGGTGTCCTGACAAAGCACACAGTGCAAGCTTTGACTCGCATGGCAATTAGCATTCGTCTGCTAACACGTAAAGACAACACACAAAGTCAGATGGACAAATTAATTTCAGGGATTTTTCTAGCTCATGCACACTCTGAAGCCAAATCACTGGTTTTGGTTGGTTTTGCCTGTAAGAACAAACCACATCTTCAATAAAAATGCACTGTACAATGGATAAAAGACACAGAGTGTGAACAGTGTACATGTAAACATAGCCACTGAGAATGACCACACAGATACTGAAATCTACAAATACTCACTGAATATACGTCTCCATCAAAAGGCTTTTTGCTCTTAAATGTTTTGGGTTTTCATTTTTCTCATTTTGCTGCAGAGAACACTAACTCACCAAACGCTGGGGTTACAGTCGCAGCAAGCAAAGCAGGTCCGAGCTGTAATGAAGAGCTGTCACTGCAGCTGGTGCAAGTTTCCCTACAACTATCAGCATCAGGTCGCGAACCTAAAAAATATAACTTCACAGGACTAAAGGAGACAGCGGGGCTTTCAGGATTAACAAATGTGCATTTATACAAAGAGACATTTCTAAATGAAATCCCGGATTATGAAACAACGGTGGAAAATTACCCAGATATTCACACGACAGCAGCTTTTTTAGAACCATATATCAAAATGTTAGAAGTCTTGAACAGTACCAAACAGACGGGAGGCCTGGGGTCAACCCATTGAAACCTAGAAATGGAGTTTAAAATCTAATTACAGTAACATTTCAGGCAGGAGACTAAATAGTACATACCATTTACAGCCCCAAAATCAGTGGGCTACAGACCGAACACCGGTGTCTGTTCAGTCAGGTTGTGGATGGATGGACTTGGAGGTGGACCGGCTTCAGGCCTGGCTGAAGATGTCTCTTAGTCTATGCTAAACATTAGCATTTCACGCAGAGCTAACAACCCAAACCATCAGTCTGGGTTCCCACGTAGGATTTACTGATGAGTATAAAGATACAAATGTCTATTTACAGCAATAGAAACAGCAAACATTTTCTGTCGTTGATCATTATAAACAGCTAGTCGCTCAACTGATAATAAATCTGATAGAAAAAGAACACAAACCTAAACCTTCACCAGGAATCCAACGCGACAATGTTAAAGAATCGGTTCTGTATAATATTTTAATCCAGTAACACGGATACAGTCTTGCTGGAGAGTCTTCCAGGACGGTCCACTGTCTTGACCATCTTAAAGAAATAAGGCGACATTGTGGGAAATACACTACTTTTGCTTTCTTTCCAGGAGAACTGTTTGCACGTGAAACTGTCTGGAGAAGTTTCATTTTTATATTTCTCTTTGTGTTCAGAGTCAAGCGGTCAGCTTCAGGCTACAGACACACTACCAGGTTTTTAAAACGCAGGCTTTTCGCTATGTTTGCACCTGCCGTCCAGACTGAAACGGAAAATCCAAACACCTAAGACGGAGAACTTTGAAAAACGCTGCTGTCCTGTTTTTGTTTTTAGTGTGGACAGGCGAAAAGGGAGGACGATGACAGACACTGACATTTGGCTTCCTGATTGGCTCTTATTGGTCATGCAAAGCATAAACACGATGCTACCTACAGAGTTTTAGTTTTGGTGTTTTTATTAAAATATTTTGTTCTGTGTAAATAACACGTGTACTGTGCATGTCGCTGTATTTACTTTGCAACGACTCCCAGTGTGTTTTGTGCCGCCACAGTCTCTTTGTACTCGCGTGTTACTTTCAGTCCACCTCGTTGTTGGTCCATGCAAATACATCTCTGCTGTGGTTATCTGCCATTGCTGTTCTTTGTCTCTCTCTAGTATTACTTCCTTCTTTTGCCAAATCTTCTGCAACTGCGGAGTGGACAATTGGCTTCTCATGCTCAGTGTTCGTAAACGGCCACTAGATTTTTCAGTCGTTCGAACATAGATGGCGATCAGTTCTGATACGCAGCTAAAACGCTGGTGTGAACGGAGATCGTTTTCAGTTTAAAACTCTCTCTTTTTTTGCCCAGGGGGCGGGGTTTAACAATCACTATGCCTGCTCAACCATCGACCGTCTGTCAGCCTTTGCCGAAGGACGATGGCATCGTCTATTGGCCCAACCCTAGTGGATATAGCTTTAGAGGTGGTGTATTGTTGAAGTCTTGACAGAAACAGGCTAGCTGTCTTCCTCTGCTTCCAGTCTTTATGCTAACCACGATCTGATTCCAGCTTAACGCACAGATATGAGACTGATAGCAATCTCTTCATATTACTCTCGGACAGAAAGCAAATATGTGTCGTTCCCAAATGTTGAATTATTCCTTAAAACAATTTTAATCTTAAAAAATGCCTTACTCCAACATTGAGCGAGCAATTACCGGACTGGTACCCAAGTCCTTCGTCTGATGAGAAAACTAAACAGCTTCCTGCTCTATCAGTCGGTAGCAGGAGCTTACGAAACCTACAGCGAAGCTGATTGGACCTGTCTGCTGTGAGGCAACAGCGGTGAGTCACAGAAAGTCGTAGAAAATGAACTGAATTTCAGCAGTTGGTTTCCCGGCTGACTTGCAGTATAAGTGTGTAATCATTTATCACTGCTTTCAGGATCCTCGAGCGGCAGCGGCAGAATACTACAGACTTCCAACGTCAGTGTAAGATTTCCTTCTTGGCTGGCTATAGGAGTAACTGAAAGGTATACCGACCATAAAAGTGCAGATGGTCGCCATGAAAATTAGCAACACACTTGACAAGAAGATATAAAACGTTATCTTTCACATACACTAATCAAAAATATCCATATATGTATGTATATATCAAATCAATCGAGATTCAATGAAAGAAAAAGACAAAAATAACGTTAGAAATATGACATAATTCACATTCATCTGATACATATTTTTATAACAAACTTTCTGGTTTAATCCATGAACACGTGTTCATTGTGTAGCAGGTAGTATGAAGGCTAGCTATGTAGCTGCTAGCGTAACAAACAACAGGTATGCAAGTAAGCCAATGAGCTGCAACCTATATTTTTACTAGTTTATCACCTGTAGCATTCCCAAACGAGACTGCCTTCAACATCGGCTAGTTCGACACGTTTTCATGTCATCATTTCATATAATAGCATCGAGGGCTGAATTGAAATTTGCTTGGCTGCAAACACATTTTGCTCGAGGTTTCCAGACTTTAGCTGAAGTTTACAATGCAGCTAGCTAACGACAATGTGCTTCAGAGAGGTCTAAATATCATCTGATTTTCATAGAATATTTACTCCTGTAATAGCAAATCATACAATACAACTAGAGTTACCTGCAGATTAAAACATCTCTTTACTAGACAGTCAGAAAGACAGAACAAAGCGCAGAAGGAGGTTTTCCTGTGGCTATTTTTGTGGCGGTAATGATCAGGCGCAGTGACATTCTTTCAGTAAAATTATCATTCTTAGGCTCTTCCATGATCACTGATTGGGATGTTAGAGAGGTGAGCAGATTATATATTAAAGGGTGCGTGTTTGAAACATGGCACAATTCCAAAAAGTGGTGTCTACTTAAATTACAATGTACCTCCTCCTTACTCAAACCATATTTTAGCACAGATGCCTTCTGGGATATGTTCTGTGCTCCAATTCAATTCTCACAGGCCCCCTAAAATCACATCTCCTCTTCTTTCATGTAAGCTGAGCTTCTCGTTATCTTCATTCATAACACATCTGTTAGCGAAACCATGATTTTAAATTCACCAATGCAGAAATTAAGGGACAGTGTCACTTCTTAATCGGAATACTTTTAAAAACATAAGCTATGAATATAAACATTCTTTGACGTTTCTCTGCCAATCCTCTGTTGATTGTACACATTTCTTAATAAGCTATAATCCAAAAGTTTTGAATTGCAAAAAGACATTCTCATTTACGCTACACCATATCAAGGCAAGGCTCAGCAAATGTTTCTTTTCCATCAAAACATAAAAGAGGCCTTAAATATAAATACAGTGGGGAGAACAAGTATTTGATACACTGCTGATTTTGCAGGTTTTCCTACTTACAAAGAATGTAGAGGTCTGTAATTTTGAAGTAATTTGTATCACAAAAATCCAGAAAATCACATTGTGAGATTTTTAAATAATTCATTTGCATTTTATTGCATGACATAAGTATTTGATCACCGACCAACCAGTAAGAATTCCGGCTCTCACAGACCTGTTAGTTCTTCTTTAAGAAGCCGTCCTCTTCTCCACTCATTACCTCTATTAACTGCACCTGTTTGAACTCGTTACCTGTATAAAAGACACCTGTCCACACACTCAATTAAAACAGACTCCAACCTCTCCACAATGGGCAAGACCAGAGAGCTGTGTAAGGACATCAGGGATATAATTGTAGACCTGCACAAGGCTGGGATGGGCTACAGGACAATAGGCAAGCAGCTTGGTGAGAAGGCAACAACTGTTGGCGCAATGGTCAATCTCCCTCGGTCTGGGGCTCCATGCAAGATCTCATCTCGTGGGGCATCAATGATCATGAGGAAGGTGAGGGATCAGCCCAGAACTACACAGCAGGACCTGGTCAATGACCTGAAGAGAGCTGGGACCACAGTTCAAAGAAAACCATTAGTAACACACTACGGCGTCATGGATTAAAATCCTGCAGCGCACGCAAGGTCCCTGCTCAAGCCAGCGAATGTCCAGGCCCGTCTGAAGTTTGCCAATGACCATCTGGATGATCCAGAGGAGGAATGGGAGAAGGTCATGTGGTCTGATGAGACAAAAATAGAGCTTTATGGTCTAAACTCCACTCGCCGTGTTTGGAGGAAGAAGGATGAGTACAACCCCAAGAACACCATCCCAACCGTCAAGCATGGAGGTGGAAACATCATTCTTTGGGGATGCTTTTCTGCAAAGGGACAGGACGACTGCACCGTATTGAGGGGAGGATGGATGGGGCCATGTATCGCGAGATCTTGGCCAACAACCTCCTTCCCTCAGTAAGAGCATTGAAGATGGGTCGTGGCTGGGTCTTCCAGCATGACAACGACCCCAAACACACAGCCAGGGCAAATAAGGAGCGGCTCCGTAAGAAGCACCTCAAGGTCATGGAGTGGCCTAGCCAGTCTCCAGACCTGAACCCAACAGAAAATCTTTGGAGGGAGCTGAAAGTCCGTATTGCCCAGCGACAGCCCCGAAACCTGAAGGATCTGGAGAAGGTCTGTATGGTGGAGTGGGCCAAAATCCCTGCTGCGGTGTTTGCAAACCTGGTCAAGAACTACATGAAACGTATGATCCCTGTAATTGCAAACAAAGGTTTCTGTACCAAATATTAAGTTCTGCTGATGTATCAAATACTTATGTCATGCAATAAAATGCAAATGAATTATTTACAAATCATACAATGTGATTTTCTGGATTTTTGTTTTAGATTCCGTCTCTAACAGTTGAAGTGTACCTATGATAAAAATTACAGACCTCTACATGCTTTGTAAGTAGGAAAACTTCAGCAGTGTATCAAATACTTGTTCTCCCCACTGTATCTGGAAAAGTAAATCATGTGTTGGAGGCCTAAATGTGCTCAAAAACACACAAAACTTTGCAAGCATGTCATATCTGGCGAAAACGCGTGTCAAATTGGTCTTGCGCACACGTTTGACCTAGATGCACAAAAATTTTACCAAATCATCCCAAAAATACACGAAGAGCCTGTTGAAGCCATTTTTAATTGAAAGTGCAATTTTAGTGCATTATTTATCATTTACAGGCTCCGTACTTTAACAAACTCCTCTACGTAGTTAATCCACTCGACACTGGCGATGAAAAGTTGTGCTGTGAGTTTTCATCGAAGGCCGTGGCGTCAAACATCAATGTTTCACCATGAAACAGGAAGTTCTAATTTCAGTGTACATGCACAGATCTGTAACAAACTTGCTTGATAAGACTCCCGCCCTGAACACATCTACATACCAATCTCTGTGTGACAATCATTTGATTTAGAGGAAAACGGTATGGTCCACACTTGACGTACTGGGGCATAACGTATAAGTGTTATCAATGTCCTTTTAGGCAAGTTGTGCCACTCGGCAGCCATCTTTGCAACGCTTCCGGGCAGCTATTTCGGACTAACAAGACCAGGCTCCTATCTGAATAAATGGGGAGTGAGCCAGAACTGCACTTTCACAGGTCACCGGGACATAAAAACTACATGAATAGAATCAGCAGCGGGAGGGGCGGGATAACCGCCATCTTTGCCGTTATACTCAACGTATAATTTTCAAACTATGATATTCAGTTTAAAATACTTTTTGATATTAGTAATATTTGAAATTATACTCCACTGACATGTCTTTTACATCAAATTAGAAAAATTTCTAACATTTCTCTAACATTTATTAAAACCACATTCCTTAACATCTATCATATTAAAATATACTTCTCTGTCTCCAAGACATACAAAGGGATAAAACATTTGTGTATGAGATATTTATCTTATTAAAAGGACTGTCTTACTGTATCACAGTATTCATGTTAAATGTGCTGGAAACAAAATGTACGCACAGATTTGTATGCAAAAATAATGATTTTTTATGGGAATATTATAGAATTATTATATTTATTACATTCCTCATGATTGTGTTACAATTATAACACAACTGTATCCTGCAATTTACGTGTGTTTGTCATAAGAATAAATTTGCAAATGGTTTGGGTAGGTAAAGCAGCTTTGGTTAACAGGTGGGTTATGCGTAGACAATTAAAACACCTGTCCATGGCACTTTATCTATTTTCCTTAGCTAGTTTGTCTGAACGTAAAGAATACAGACACTAGCATGCAGAGAGCATTTTGGCCAGAAATGTTTGTTTTAGTCATTTTGTAGTGATCCGACTCCAGGAATTAACATTAATTAGCAACAGCTGACTAAATTTGATTGATGATTGATGTTTTTATGGCTGTCAAAATCAACTGTCTTATAATAAAGTAATTATTTCACTTCACAGAACTTGTTATGAAATTGTTAAAAATGTGTTCTATAGCTTAATTAGTTGTTCAGCTCTAGCTGCTCTCTTGAATAACATTCAGCACTGGTCCAGCAAACATTTTTGTTGATACGATACTTTTCAAAGGTTTTAGGCAGGTGTGGAAAAAAATACTGTAAGAATTTAAGTAAGTTATGTAAATAATGCTTTCAAATATAGTCACGTTAACAAAATACAAAGTTAGTGAACAGAAGAAAAATCAAATCAATATTTGACCACCCATTGCCTTCAAAACAGCATAAATTCTCCAATTCACACTTGTACAAAGTCAGGGATTTTGTAGGCATATCGTCAGGGGTATGATTAAACAATTATACCAAACAGGTGCTACACCTACAGGTGAAACAAGTGCAACAGAAACAGCTGTGTAGGAGGAAAACAACTGGAAGGGGAACAGCCAAACTCAGCTACCAAGGTAAAGCTGCTGAAGACGGTTTACTGTCAAAAGTCATTCACCACCGTGAGACTGAGCACAGCAACAAGATAGTAAGTAATACTGCATCAGCAAGGTCTCTCCCAGGAAGACATTTCAAACCAGAAAGGGTTTCCAGGTGTGCCTGCAGCAGATGAAAGAAACATCATGCTTACTTCCCTTCACAATCTGAAGTCCAGCAATGCCTTCAGCTCAGAGCTACAAAAAACAGTGGGAGCCTGATACACCATTTTACTGTCTGGAGACGTCTATTCGGAAAAAGCCTATATGAAAGACTTGCCACCAAATAGCCTACGACATGGAGACAAGGCCACAAAATTCAACTATAGAAACACCGGAACTGGGGTGCAGAAAAATGGCAGCAGGTGCTCTGGACTGATAAGTCAAAATTTGAAATATTAGGCTGCAGCAGAGGTTGTACGCCAAAGGGCAGGAGAGCAGTATAAGAATGAGTGTCTGCAGGCAGAAGGGAACCACGATGGAGGTTCCTTGCAAGTTTAAAGCTGCATTTTCTGCAAATGGAGTTAGGAATGTGGTCAGAAGGAAGGGTCTCCTCAATGCTGCAATCTGATTGGCCCCCCATTTATTCTGCAGCATGACAACGACCCCAAACATACAGCGAAGTCAATAAGAACTACCTTAGGAGTCCTGGAAGTGATGGTATGGCCCCACACAGATCTCAACATCATCAAGTCTGTCATGATGAGAGAGAGGCAAGTGAGGCTGCCTGAATCCACAGAACTACTGTTTGGAGTTCTCCAAGATGTTTGGGCCAACCTACCTGCAGAGTTCCTTCAAAAACTATGCGCAAGTTTATCTAGAAGAACTGACGCTGAGGCAAAGGGTTGTCACACTATTGATTTGATTTAGATTTAAAACTCGTGGAAGAAGGTGAGAGCCAATCGAAAGCAGAGAAGGGGCGCTGGATTTATACTCCTATAGTGACTGGATGCCGGAACCTATGGCGTCGGCAACGCACGTACTCTCGCATTTATACTTGTGTGTTAGTGTCTGTGTTGCTCTGCAGTTAAACTGCCAAAACACTAGTTGGTGGTGGGGTTTCTAGTTTCCACTGTTTGACTTCCTGGTTTAGCCCTCCGCTAACTTGCGCTAAAATAATAATTGTGCGGCTCTTCTAGCCTTTCCAAATTCTGATTTCGCGTCAGGTTGTGATGCTTAAAAGAAAATATCCACCATTTCACAGCAGCTTGTAAAACTGGCTTCAAAGCATGGAGCACTTCCTGTGAGCTTGGAGGAAATCCGATGCTACCAAGCCGACCAATCACAGTTCAACATTCAACTTTTACCTGTAGCTGTTCCTGTTTACAGTCATTTACATAACTATCGAAGTGTATAGGAAATGACAGAAGGTTAGAGTAAACTGTTATGGCGCTGAAAGTGCACCTAAATTTTGTGGCGGTGTAAAAGTTAGTCTGAAACCCTGTTCAGCATTTTGTTTTCCAGACCTCACTAAAATTGTATAGGGTGAAGTATGTAGCCAAGTAATTCTTAGTCTGGACTAGTACAATAAGATTGCCCTTAGCATACATAAACCTTCTACACTTAAAAAAAAAAAAAAAAAAAAGGAAAAAAACAATATCAAAATATTGTCTCCATTACTCAAAACATAGCTGTTAGCTTTTCGTGACGTCAGCAAATTCAGTGTTCATTACAGTGTTTACAGGTAATACGTAATACGTAATCTTACCATCTACAGCTTGTATACCACTCGAAACGTTCACACCTGCTACTTACTTTCTGTTCTCTCCAAACTTCCAGCTAAATTTAATACTAACACAAGCAAAAATAGAATACAGCATAGAATATACCATTATAAACCACAAGAATGGGCACAGAAACCGTCTGCCTTCAACAGTTTTCATCAAACATATCAATGTTTTTGTTGACCAGTTGCTTGCAAGCTCTACGTCTTATTCAACTGTGTCCATTCTTTAGAAAAGAAAATGAGTCACACCAACACATGTAAGGGAAATGAGTAGCAATTAAAAAGTCTCTGAATCTGTCACACTCAACCATATATCTTGATTTATCGGCTTGTTTAACTAAAATACTCCCTATAATAAATGTTGAGAGGATTACAATACACATTCTGTCCACTCAGCTATTGTGCACTCCATTAAAAACGTATCAACACATTAATAGCTCTTTACAATGCCATTAGCAGCAGCAGCATCATCTCCAGCAACAATATCATGGCCCTGCACCTACAAACTCAATTAGCAAAGAGACCAGAAGTGGGAGTTTGCAGAAATTATATAGATATGTACACAGCTATAAATATTCACTGTGTTCTGTAATCTGTCCTCAAGATGTAGTAATTGTGCTTCCTTTAATTATACATAATCCAAACATGAGGATCTTTGTGTTCCCAGGCAGATTTCCATCAATATACACTGACTGCTCAGTCATTACAGTCCTGCAGTAACACAGTATATCTATGTGGCTAGCCCACAGCCACACGACTTTTCTTTGGTGGCACTTGGGCACTAAGTTAAACAAAGAATGTAAACACTAGGCTAAGAAAAAATGATCAGACATTTCTGTTGAATAGTCCAAATGGAAACTGTCCTCACCAGTAAAAAACAACTAAATAGTCCGTTTGAGCAGCACGTTATTACGACCCATTTTTGAGTTTATTGTGGCCGTACAATGTTAGCAAAGGAGGAAGTCAGGTGACGTATTATAAATAGGTAGAAACGCCTTAGTGCTAGTGTCCACCAAAGCGTTTTTTGCCAACTGAAAACGGCAGCTGCTCTTTTGATGACTCCTAGCTGGGAGCGCTAGGATGCGCTTTGGAGGCACGGGGGGAGGTTGCTATGATACATCTGTGGAAGTGATGTATTGCAAGTAGGCCACCTCATTTTACTGGATACAAAAATGTCACCATAAAGTAGAGAGTACCTGCTCTGGCCCTTGCTGTGCATGGAGAGAAGGTTGAACCATGTATAGTGAGGGGTCAGACACGGGTTCATGAGATTTTGTGGAAGAGGAAACACCTTGGCGAGCACCATCGTTTGGTTCAAGAGCTGAGAATGCTCCGTGTGGTGTTTGTCCCGCCCCTCCTCCACTGTGATTGGACGGCTGGGTAAAAAGTGACGGTGACGAGCGCTGCATTTTCCCCAAAGTTGAACAACTGGGACAACAAATGGGAGCGCCAATATTCGGCGCTCCCATTGCACTGAATTGAAAAAAGACTCTGGCCTCAGGAAAAAAAAAGCTTTGGTGGACACAGGCCCATAAGGAGGTAGGATGGGGTCAAACGCCGGACTTTCACTCAGGAGAACATCATAGCAAGTAAATGTGGAGTTATTTAGAGTTTTAAGTTGAATAACTTAGGTAATGTATTTACTTTAACTCAAACCACAACGTTTCCCTAAACCTACACAAGTACTTGCCTAAACCTAACCAGACTGCGACCCCTTCACAACGTTAACTACGTGCTTAATGTTGTGCGACTAAGGTCACATGACTGACGTAACGTAGTTGACACTCATATGTGTTGTTTTAGTAGGGATGGCCAAACGCCACCTGTAGTGGTGCTAATTCAGGAAACGTTATGTGTCGTTTTGGGAGGCGTGGATAAAACGACCTATGTTGTCGTTAAGGCTGGAGGACTTGTTGTTCAAATGGTGTGTTGTGTCTGGTAATCAGTAAACAGAACATTTAAAAAGTAAAAAATTCGATTTTTTTTTCTCCAACATCCATGGAGAATGGAAATGTCAGAATGTTTTATACTTTATGAATTCAACCACACATGCAAAACACCAAAGCAAAGTTAGTGAGGAATATTACGCTACAAGTGAGTAATTGGGCCACTGTTAGGGGGAGAATAAATTAGTGAGGAAAAAGTCATGTTATAAGAATAAAGTTGTTAGTGTACATGCAAAAAGTAATATGACAATTTAGTTGTTCACAAAATAATGTTTAACACTCAAATAAAGGCATAGTTTTATCATATTTTTATATTATATTCTATTGTAATAAACAGAAGAGCAGCCTGTTGGCCTATACGGCGAACCGAGGGTTGGTGAGGATCTAAAGTTCTACAGTCACGTCTAAAATGTATGTGGACGATGCTAAAACATTGAAAAAATGTACAGTGTTTCTCGAAATGCTGACTTTTTTCATATTACTACTTTTGTCTTGTAATGGTATGACAGTTTCTCAAAATTATGAACTTCTTGTAATGTTATGACTTCCTTGTACAGTAATAACTTAATTCTTGTAAATTATCTAATTTTTCATAGAAATTACACTTTTCTTTTAAAATTTTTTTACTAAATTCTTGTAAAATACATTATTATTTCTCCTCAAAATTATAACTTCCTTCTAATGTGACTTTGTTTTTAAAAACTTCAAGTATTGTCATGACTTTGTTGTAAAGGTACGATTGTATTCTTGTAATATTGTACTTTCTTAATTACATTTTATTATTTTGCCTTTTATTTTGTAAAATCAGGACTATCCTCATCAAATAATGACCAATACAACTTTATCGCATAACATTGCAACAAATATCGCAACTTCATCCACAGATTAGAGTCCTTTTGTCCTAACAGTTGCCCTAAAACTCAAGCGTAATTGCACCCATACAGTAATGCTGATGAGTTGATAAAATTAACCTAACAAAGAAAATAAAATGCATAACTTCCTTCAGTCTTTGGACTTGTGTGTGGTCTGTTTGTTCAGATGATTCACATGCTGTGCCGGTGTATAGTACAGCTACTACATAGTAAGGATAATTCATATACTGCACATCATTAAAACACAGCATGTAAAAAATAGAGCGCTTGTTTTACTATATTTAAACACAATGTATGTACCATGATATTGATATTGTTCATCCAACACAAACACAATACCACCATGAACTAAGAGATACTGTTATTGCCCAAAAGGGACTCATAAGCCCAGACACAATTAAGAGTGTGGGTTTAATTTCCACTGTGGCCACCCACAGTTGTTATGTACAAACACAGCACAGTTATGGGCTTTGAATGCAAATTTCCATCTAATGACATGTGATTACTAGCAAAGTTTATATATCAATATTGTTAACCTGCATTTGACAACAGGATGAAAGCTGAGAATATACTGTATGTATAAATGTTGTGATAAGAATGTTTTTTGTTTCTTTTTTCCCATTTGCAGCTGACCTGGGAGTCAGAGGAAAGGGGGGCAGAGTCATTAGGCTGAATCCATCCTTGCTGGCAAGGAGCTATGGGACAGATCGAGGACACTGGAGTCTCTCCTTCTGAGTGAGTCAAAGGGACCGCAGTTTATTTAGTTCATTATGGGCCTATGAAGCAAGTGCACTCAATATATTACATTTACAAAAAACTGACTGGTGTACCCAGCAATCCGAGATTAAAAAAAGAAGAAAAAAATCTTTAATCAAACTCACCCCTCATATTGTGGCCCTTCACTATAGTCCTTTTTTATTGGCCGGTTGGACATCGGGGGCAGGGCTAATTGTGTTTGTACTCTGTGTGGCTTGTGACCCAAAGGTTGATCATGAACCTATTGCAAATAGGTTTTAATAAGCCTACAGTACGTTTCATAGTAAGAAACAACTTTTATCCAGTTGGGTACTAAACCATCAGGGACACAATTGGCCATTTATTGTGCCCTAACTGGCCAGGTGAGAGGTTGTGTATGAGACTAACACATTTTTGGCCATCCCTTTATTGGCCGACCCTCAATGGTGGATTGATTTAACCAAATTTCCAAAGTCCTGTATGGCACATGCAGCATCTCCATTGAAATTTGTACTGGTCAAGTGGGACACATGAACTTAACACTAAATGTGTCATTCTTTATAGGCCAACCCTAGAGACGGTGGCGGAGTGTGAGTCAGGATAGGCCGGGGTAAGGTAGGCGGGGGGGTTGGGCTGGGACGGCCAAACATCCCCTGTAACTGCCTGTTGGGGTGGTTAGGGTGGATGGGGTTTTCTTGAAAACTTCGAAGGTTTTCGTGAAAACGGTTGGTGCTTTCATTGTCGAGGCGGTTGCTGTCGTCACAGGGGCGGTGGTTGTTATGGAGGTCGGGGGTGGGCCCTCGATCCGGGACGTGGGCCATGTGGGAGCCACTCTTCCTCCTCAGGGTCGACTCACGACTTGACGAGGCAACCGACTGGCAGTCTGAGCCGCCGTCGCTGCTGGTGGCCGTTCCCTCCACCGGGGTCACCCTGATGGTGGTGATGGTCTGAGGGTGGGGGTGGAAGGGAGGAGCAAAGGTGGCAGTGGGGGTATACTGCATGTTGGAGTTAGTAGAGTTGGGGTTGAAGTTAAAGTGAGTATTATTAAAATTAGGATTATTGGGATTGTTGGGGTTGAAACTGGGGTGCTGCATGTTGTTGGGATTGTTGGGGTTAAAATTGTGGGACTGGATGTTGTTGGGATTGTTGGGGTTAAAATTGTGGGACTGGATGTTGTTGGGATTATTGGGGTTGTTGGGGTTAAAATTGTGGGACTGCATGTTGTTAGGATTATTGGGATTGTTGGGGTTAAAATTGTGGGACTGGATGTTGTTGGGATTATTGGGATGTAAGGGATGTAAAGGGTGTACAACATGTGGGTGGTTTGAGTATACACTTCCTCCTCCCCCTCCCATTCCTCCATCTCCTCCCCCTTCGCTCTCCGATTCAGTCCCTGTCACGCTCCTCCGCCCATCCACTGACCCTCCATCCCGTAGTGAATCACAGCTGTCTGTGTGTCTGTTCAGGTCATTGAGGGTGAAAGCAGACTGTCGGAGCGAAGCTCGTTGGTCTGGAGGTTTCCATCGCCAGGAGCCACTTCCGTCTGTGCTTGGAGGTCTTACCACTGGTTTGTTTGATCTGGACTCTGGGTGAGCTTCAACACGGACTATACTGCCAGATCTTTCCAGACCTCCTAAAAGAACAAGGCAAATTAATCACTCAGTAATTATCTTGTACTACTAAGAATCAGAATCATCATTTTGCGTTTCCTATAAATGCAAAGGTGCCTATAATGCTGGGACTGCCACATTGAGGTCTTCAAGAAAATCAAAAACCTCATCGATGCTTGGTTTATACTATATACAGTGTACTGTTTAGCATGGATGATTATTACTGTCGCACAAAGCGCTTACGCTGTGCACAAGCGAAGATGATGTGATTTGATGCCGCTGATCGCAAAAGTGGAGGAAGAGAAAGAAAATGGTGAGGGACGAAGAAGAGACAGGCCAGAGAAAAAGACGTCCAAAGTTTGGGATTATTTTCTAGCTAAAAGAAAACCACAGCTCTGTTCAGGGTGTCTACTATAAAACAGAAGCAGCCTACCACAACAGTACGACAGCAACGCTTCAGGGTAGCAAAGGTAAGGCACAATTCTTAGCTGTATAAACGTGCATTTGTTACTGTTCAACTGGTTAGCCTGTGAGTTTGGGTTGTACCGTGATATGACCGTGATAAGTTACACATCAGGGTACCAAGCAAAAGTAAATCTTACGTGATTACCCAATGAATCGATGGAATAATCTGTAGAATACTCGATTACTAAAATAATCGATAGATGCAGCCCTAATTAGGTCCCACTCCTTGCTATTCTTCATCCTGTCGAGACCTTATTTAGTCTTGTGTAGAACTAAGCTAGCCCCTTTCCAAACTTCTAGTATATGTGTAAAGCCTAAGTAAATGCTCCAAGGTGTATAACAGTGAGGGAGACGCAGGACGGACATTGATATCCATCACTTGTCTGATTCTGGGAAAGTGTGTTTCCCTGAACTTTTCTTTTCGAGGATGGTAAAACTATGTTTTTGTTAGTGCCAAGAAGTCCCATGAAAAGAGAAAAATCAGCAATTGCCAGTCCATCTCTCAATACTTTGTGATTTCCTTACTTCCCCTAACAAATATAGTTTAATAGAAGTCTCAGTAAAACTAGTTTTTAGCAAATGTTAATCAAACAGGAGGAAATAGTACATTTATTGGGGACTATTTTCCGCTGTGGATTAAAGGTTATGTGTGTAGGTTTTAGTGGCCTCTAGTGGTGAGGGTTGTGAATTGCAACTAACAGCTCAGTCACCGCTCCTCCTCCTTGTATGTATTTAACGTAGTGCCGAAATGTGCTCTGTAGAGCAGCTTGGGCTACTGTAGAAACAAGGCGGCGCAACATGTAAGAGGACCCGCAGTGTATGTAGATAGAAATGTCTCATTCTAAGGTAATAAAATCACAATGGTTCATTATGTAAGGTCTTTACACACCATTCAAAACATAGTTATAGATATTATATTGCATTTCTGTCAATAAATCCTAAATATTACACACTAGACATTTGCTGCTCTAGAGAGCATTTGGTGCAAAAGTCAAAATAAACTATGATATTTATGTTTGTGGTAATTAAAGAAGATGTGTTAATAGTTTTTGGACAATAATGGAGCTCGAAGGCACAGAGGAATGAGATATATTAGGCTTTGGACACCCACACACAATATTGGTTAGTAGATACATTCATTGATAATTGTCTTTTTGTCTTTTGAGATTTATGGAAAAGATTTTTTATACCAGCTCTGTAAAAACTGAGATCCTCCTCCTACCTGTGAATATTTCTTCTTCCTGTTAAAAGGAGAGAAATATTTTGACCTGTTCTGCTCATTCCTTCCACTATACTGGATCACTGCCATAAAATGTTATCTCCATGCCATTGGTTGAGCTGCCCTCTTCGTTTTTGTGTCATAATGTAGAGGGTAGAGGGCTGTTAAGACGGCCAGTCTTCTCTGTGGATGGCTCATATGTTCATGGTAATTAGACTAATGATTTATGTAGTAATGATTCATCTTATATGTAGTGCATTTAAATTGAAGTGCTTATGTTTTACCACACACCAGAAATATATATGACTCTAGCAGTACAGACCTCCTCCTCCCACTGCTCCGGTGGTGGAGGCGGGTGGTGATGGGTCCTGGTCCGTCAGTGCTCGGTACCGAATGGATCCGGTGCAGCTGACAGTGCTGCCACCATCCTCTGAACGAGCTGAGTGAAGCAGACCCTGCTGTTTGGATAAGGCTATCACCTGAAATAGGGGGATGAGCGAAATATGAGCTATTACAAAATTTGCTGCTGAGATACTTACACATCATCTACTCTTCTCGTAGGTGGAGTGCTACTTTTACAACTGGGAGCCTTTTAACAAAAAGGCTATGAAGGGCCGCTATCCGCAAAGCATGCAGTATTGAAATTATACAATTTTATGGTGACTAAAATAAATTCCTGATCATGTTACAAAGTGCTAGTGGTCACGTTTGAGCAAACAGGCTTATTTTTCTGTCTTTTCAAATATTTTTCAATCGCCTTGCTACCAAGGAGAAGATGTAAGTGTAATAAAATGGATTATAGAACATAAATGACAAGTTTATTTGTAAGCTCAAGTTTTGTTCACAGCTCTGGAGTTTCAGCAAAAATCCAGTAACATTGTTTTGCCAAACCACAATTCTTTCTGTACCTTCTTTTGTTAATTAATGGATTCAATGTTTGCTCTGTAAAATGTTCAAAATAATGACAAATGGCCTTCATAACTTATCAGAACCCAAAGAGATGCCTTCAAATTTCTTACTGTCTCTCACAGCGAATCACATTTAATTTACAATCAATATGAAACAGAGAAAAGCAGGCAAACATCACATTTAAGAAGGTGGAACAACTATATTATATGTTTGGGAACATGGGACTCAATAAATTACTTAAAAGATCAACCATAGATCTGATTGCATCCCGACTAGATCACATTAAAAGGATCAATGTCTAAGCCATGAAGGAACAGGGGTTCCACAAGGCTACGTCCTGGGCCCTCTCCTTTTCTGGCTCTAACCGAGGACACTTGCTGCTGTCATGCACTCTGGGCGTCGCTTTTTAAGGCCCTCGGTACCACTTTTGCATCGTTTTCTGACGTGTAGGGCTACACAGTCAAGGTATCAATAAATATACTACGTCCTGTTTGACCTTCAAAATAAAACTAGTGGTTAACGTTGTGAAGAGGTGTAATTTTATTAGTTTTAGGCACCAAAACTACTTTGTTAGGTTTAGGAAAAGATCGTAGTTTGCCCTAAAATACGGTTACTTACTGCAGGTTAAGTAATGTTACTTGCCAAATGTACGTAACTTATATATATAATCATAAGCCTACCTTTAGTGTTCAAAAGTGAAGCGATAGGGCTTCCTGACGCATGACAACTGTTGGACGACACCCAAATATTCCTCAAATTTCCCCAATCGGACAATAAGATTGGGGAAATCATGCATCACTGCTTGCCTGGTAGATATCTGCCAAGGCATCACCTAAAATTCAACCCAGACAATCCGGTGTTCCTTCAGGGGAAAGACTGACACCAAGTCCTGCCAGCAGCCTGAAAACCCACATTCTCAGACTTTAACTCAAAACCTAATGCTAGCACTTTCTTAAAAAGAAAAGAAAAGTGAGTCTTTCAACTCTAGTACTCTGAACATATTTTTGGTTGTTTGTTTGAGAGGGATACACATTTTACCACTTTCTGATGACAACTAGATCTTGTACTTATACAAATAAAGTGCATCATCATAACACATTGTTTTTGTATTTTAACTTTTTTGTTGAGAGCCTAGTAGTAGACAGACCAGGGGAAACAACAAGGATCCTAAGCCAGAATTGAACAAGGACTCAGTTTGTGGTATGCATCCTAACCATACAGCTACCAAGGCAAGTAAAGAAGAATGATTAACCTGCATTAGTCGAGGCTGTCCACCAGCACTGAGCGGCCTACAGGGGATGGTGGTCTTCTCAGCCACTCTCAGCCACTTTTCCCTCACTGACCCGCCCCCGTCCATAATGCTGTCCTCTGATTCACTCTCCTGATCCCTGCAGCTGGGGTTCTCCTCCTCAGGAATGTGAACCAGCTGGGAGGATCCAGGCCGTGATTGGATGGACACTCTCGCCCCACCAGCCAATCCAGTGCTGCCGTTATGGGCCATGTGATTATGATTGGCCATAGGAACAGAGCTTGCTGCCAGTTTCATGTACTGAGCTGGGATGTGGGCCCCAGCACGCAGCTCTGTTTCCTGACCAGTGACTAAAGGTAGGTGTGTTCCACCACGGAGCTCTGCCTCCAGGCCCATGGCAGAAGGTTCAGAGGAGCAGCGCAGCTCCATGTTCCTCTGAGGAGATGAGGAGGAGGCTGGTCTTATTCCATCCATCACCTGCAGGGACAGCTTCCTGTTGTCATTCTTATTCTTCCATTGGCTGAGCAGTTGTTTAGATCGTGTTGAGTCCATTGAGGCGTGGATGGAGGCGTGACGCCGAGGAATGCGGCCCTCCTCCAATGAGGAGCCGCCGTGGGACCTGGAAGAAGAGGCAAAGAAACTTTGAGTGCAGAGCAAGAGGGAAGCTTCCGGTCTGAGAACTGATTAGTTTATGCAGTTATTTTTGTTGAGTTAAGTAAAAGTACATCTCTTTTGGAATAAGTTTTTAGGTAGGTTTTGCTTTTATTCGTAGTTATGTAGTAGTGTTGTTGTTAATCTTCCCCTGTGTGTCAAAATTGGTCTGATCAGCCAATATATGTCTCCTTTGTTTCTTGTGTAGTAGGTCAGTTGTATTTTTGAGTCTCTTATGTTCAGAGCTTTAGTTACCGTTTGCTTATTTGACCTCTTTTATGGGCCCAAAACTTTATCTTTATTTTGGTGTAATTTTTCGTAAATAAAAACCCTTAGTTTTGAACATCCATTGTGACTCCTCTTGCTTAACTGCTTGGTCCCTCACAATCATCTTCGGTCTCTTCACATCCTCTGCCATGATATCCACACAAAGAATACCGAGCTAGCTTCTTCCAAAGAGCTTACACTGACCATTATACTTTTTGCGTCTTAGAGCTTGCTTGCTGAAGAGTCCAAAAATGCTATGTTAGGTCTCCTAGCTAAATGTCAGGGTCTACCGGCACACTGCTGACGCATCCTGTAGTATATGTGGAACTGAATCGACCCCAGGTCAAATTGCAATTCAACAGGCGGTGCAGTATGAAACAGTTAAACATGATATACTACGTGTAAGAAAAGTTCCATCACCTTGTTTACTCTCCCAAACCAAACCTGTGGATAAAGACTCCACTAAAGACATTTACCTTGGCAGTGTGCTGCTGCTGAAGGTCATCATGTTGTCATGGTTGCCCAGGGGACTGGACGGAGATATCACCTCCACTTCAGCACTGGCTCTCTTCAGATTGGACAGGGAGGGTTCTCGGTAGGAGGAGCTTCGCGTGAGGATGCACTCCGGCTGGTTGGAGGACAAGGTGTGGGATGTGGTCCTCGTAAGGATGGGCTCTGGTTGGCTGGGAGCCAGGCTGTGGTGACCTAGGTGGACAACAGGGAGAGGCCAAACTGCCAAATCGACAAAGATTTTTAATATTCTCACACTCATCATCTCGCATGTCAATAAGTTGTTGTTCACTCAGTCAAGTCTCTCCTGATTTGACCTTCATCAGCACCGCTCGGGATTCAGCCCAGCCCACTGCTTCCTTATGGGGTGAAATTCATATCATATTTCAAATCAGAAAATAAAAGCTTCAAAGGGTTGAAATCTACTAAAATCAATTTTTGCAAGATTGAAATTAAGTGTTGAAGGCCTGCACAATGTTTTGATAGACAGGGGCAGGAGGCAGGGGCATGTGCTCAAACCTATTGTTTTCTCTCCGCTGAAGTGCAGTCTGATAACAAGCCGTATTTAGTGTATTAGGTGGGATTAATTGTCCTCGAGCAGTAATTGGCGGAGCATTCGGTCAGTCTGTTTTGGAGTTTCAGACCAGAGCTGCGAGACAACACTGCCAAAAATCACATGACTTGCAAGCTTGCAACTGTGTGGGCAGATCTCTGAAAAGTGGTTGTTGAAACTCAAACTCAAGTTTCAATATTTCAACATAAAAAAAATCCCAACATATGACCACCAGTTTTCGACATGTACAAGAAAACATGGACAACAAACATCTAAACAAATCAAAAAAATTTGCGTGCCTTTAAAACTTAGTTTCAAGTATTTTTTAGTTTTTTTTAATCATGTTTTAGGCTTAAGTTTCAACACGTGATTCGACTGTCAGTCGACTATAGGCAGGACTTGACAATTCTGATTCAACTATGTAAATCCTTAGTCGGGGACAGCCCTACATCCCATACTTCCTCGGCCCCCCACTTCCTCCCTGTTCACGACTCGATGCCTGCTTGTGGGACTCCGGGGTCATTAGACTTCCTTTACTGGATCACTTCTTCTCTCATGCCGCTGAAGGGAATCTTAAGCGTAGTCTGCTGGGATTCAGGGGTAAGCCCAGCCATCTACGAAGATGATGGCTAACACTCTTCTTAAAGTCCTCCACTGTAGTTAATAATAATCTATGACTTCATAAATCATCGACGGCCAGGAGATCATCAACAGTGGAAGGATGCCATGCTGGTAGACCATGACTTTGAACTTGCTGATTGAGGTACTATTTTAATGAATCCAAATACACAAATTAAATAAGATTAAATCGGCTCACTTGAGGAATTTCACCAGTCTTTACTGTTTAACCACAAATTTCCAATGGAAACAAAGACATACTACTACAGTACATATACCTATTGTACTGAAAATAAGTATGGCAAATTATCAAAGTTTAATTCAATGAGCCGAGGTAAACATTTCATGGATGTCAACATTTCTTCTACCAGCTACACACTATGTGTGACAAGACAGCTAAACTACTGTGAAGAGTGTCATTGTCATTCTGATTTTTAGGTTTAGTCAGAACGAATGATTAAAATGTTTTAGGTTGCGGATTAATGTCCAAAACTGGCTTGAAGCACAGTTGTGAACAAATTCACATTTAAGCCCAGCAAAGATCTACAATTTTACGTCTTGTTCTCTCTACTTAGCTTTTTTCAGATTACTGACAGGACAAACATTTATTTCCCCCCTTTGATTTTGATTTTATGGCCTTTCACCTTGTTCGAAGTAATTGTTGGTATACAGTGTCACTGTGCTCATTAGCATGCACAAACTCAGACTTTGGAACGGAGCAAAGCTGAACCACAATATATCCTCTGTTCATTTCCAATATGGGCTTTGTGTTGCATTGACAGGTCAGGGAGATGTGTGTGTTAAGAGACACCTGGCAGACATGGTTTTACCTTGGTGGCTGTTGCTAATTGTTGCTTGGCTGACATTTGGAAGAGAGGAAAGGGGGGGCTCTCTCAGGGTGGGGGGAGCTGGTCGACTTCTGGATCGATCCTCACTGGGCTGGAAATTCCCCACTGCGTATACACCCTGCACACACACACACACAGTGAGATGCAGAGGAGCATGCAGACATAAAGACATAAGCACACAATATTAGGTGTTTTTCAAGAGTTATAAACTTTTTCCAAGCATTTCTTTATCTGCACTTTTGAAAAGTGTATGCTAAATGAAGGAAAGACATTCAGCTCATTTAGGCATCATGTAATGTAAATAATGTTCATTCAATATTAAATATATTTACACCGAAACATTACATGCATGTTTGCATGCACAAAGGGCCTATGTCTTAACAACCAGGTAATTCATGATGCATGATCAATCTGAAGTGTTGCCCCCTTTCGGTCACATTTCCCTCAGCACTCTTGTAAAAACCAAACTACCACTCTTCAGACAGACTGTTGCTAACTTCGGTGTTGGACAGTAAGCTTTTTAAATGTGCGTTAATCAAACATGATTTTAATGACTAAAATGGGAAATGTTAATACTAACTGTCTGGAAAGCACTGAACGGTTTATGGCCAAAATACATTTCTGATCTTCTGCTACGTTATGAACCATCCAGACCTCTCAGGTGGTCTAGGATCCAGGTCTGCTTTCTGTCCCCAGAGTTAAAACTAAACCTGGAGAAGCAGCGTTCGGTTTTTTATGCTCCGTATATCTGGAACAAACTGTCTTGGATGACACGTCTCTTTAACATTGCGTGGAGGTCGGGTACAGTGCCCAAGGAGTGGCGGACTGGGGTGGTGGTTCCCCTGTTCAAAAAGGGGGACCAGAGAGTGTGTGCCAATTACAGGGTTATCACACTTCTCAGCCTCCCCGGTAAAGTCTACTCCAGGGTGCTGGAACGGAGGGTTCGGCCGATAGTCGAACCTCAGATCGAAGAGGAACAATGCGGTTTTCGTCCCGGTTGTGGAACAACAGACCAGCTCTTTACTCTCACAAGGATCGTGGAGTGGGCTTGGGAGTATGCCCATCCAGTCTACATGTGCTTTGTAGATCTGGAGAAGGCGTATGACCGGATCCCCCGGGAGATACTGTGTGAGATGCTGCGGGAGTATGGGGTGATAGGGGCCCTTCTCAGGGCTATCCAATCCCTGTACCTCCAAAGCGAGAGCTGTGCCCGAGTACTTGGCAGTAAGTAGGACACTTTCCAGGTGAGGGATCTCGTCACTGCTTTTTGCAGATGATGTGGTCCTGATGGCATCATCGGTCCGTGACCTTCAGCTCTCACTGGATTGTTTCGCAGCAGAGTGTGAAGCGGTTGGGATGAGGATTAGCACCTCTAAATCTGTGGCCATGGTTCTCAGCAGGAAATCGTTCCCACCCTCACCTATGGTCATGAAGGCTGGGTCATGACCGAAAGAACGAGATCGCGGGTACAAGCGGCCGAAATGGGTTTCCTCAGGCGGGTGGCTGGTGTCTCCCTTAGAGATAGGGTGAGAAGCTCAGCCATCCGCGAGGAGCTCAGAGTGGAGCTGCTGCTCCTTTTGCGTTGAAAGGAGCCAGTTGGGCATCTGGTAAGGATGCCTCCTGGACGCCTCCTTAGGGAGGTGTTCCAGGCACGTCCAGCTGGGAGGAGGCCTCGGGGAAGACCCAGGACTAGGTGGAGAGATTATATCTTCACACTGGCCTGGGAACGCCCCGGGATCCCCCAGTCAGACCTGGTTAATGTGACTCGGGAAAGAGAAGTTTAGGGTCCCATACTGGAGCTGCTGCCCCCGCAACCTGACTCCAGATAAGCGGATGAAGATGGATGGATGGATGGGTGGTATTCAATTGTCTTTTATGTAAAGCACTTTGAATTTCCTTGTTGTTGGAATGTGCTATATATAAACTTGCCTTGCCTTGGCTTCTGTGGCACTGAGGAGCTGTATAGCAGAGCGTGCAGCCATGTTTTGTTCTGGTAACACTTGTTGACTTCACCGAATGTTTTGTTTGCACGGCCCCTGGCATTTTGGAGGATACTGCATCGGACAGTGTAGAGGTCTACTGATCATAGTTGAAATACACATCAATATGGAAATTTAAAGGACTATAATTAATTAGCATTTAGTTTAATTCGTGTTCCTTTTCGGACATACACTGAACATGGGTCAAGATGACCTTCACACTCTCTATGAGTTCAGCACAGAAACAAATACACTCTCTTGATTGCAAATTATATATCTGATTGATTTATGCATACAGTATGACAATAAAGCTTTTATTTTTTATAATCTACTGCAGGGAAATTACACCACAGCTGACATTAAGTCCAGTGTTTCATTTAAAAGGAACTTAACAGTGTGTGTGAGGACATCTGGCCAAGCTGAAGGTTTCTCAAACACAATAGTGCATTGACTATAAACGCCTCTGTGCACGCTTGTAGCCCACGCACGGAGGCCCACACCACAGTGTCTCAAGCAAGCATAAACAAAAGTTAAAAGCCTCCTAAGGACGTGTTGAGGGCTGTCTGCGCCTCATGGTAAAAGCCTTCTGAGGATGTAATTCAGGACTCCTTGAGCCTGTTCTTTTAAAAAAGAGCAACGGCCAATGGAGAAACTCCAAAACTTGACTGACCAATGGTGTATGACTGAACAATTTGACCTAAAATAAAAATCACAATTAATTGAACATTTTACCTCGATTACGATTATTGATATCGATTATTTTGTTTTTGATTGTTGTTGTTGTTTTGTTTGTTTTTTGCCCTCATTCACTGACAAGGTTCTTACTATAAAAATGCTCAGCTGTTAAAGCTGGGTTTATTTTTTTCAATTTACATGTCGAAAATTGATTGTCTAAATGTTAATTGATAAGGTTATGTTGACAAGCACATAACAGAGAGGTGGTTCCCCTATACTAGGCACATACTAAATTTTCACACAATTGTTATTATTAATGTGGTACAAATAATTTTCACCAACAGGGCAAACCTCAACATTTTGCTAGTTTCCTCTCATTCATCAAAGGACATCTACGTGACAGGTGCTGTTATAAGAGCGGTGAAGTTAGGTCTTTTAAGGGCAATGTGTATATAGCGAGTGTGAGAGAAGGAACGGTAGATGGTGACGGGGAAAGCGACCGAGTAAGTTGTCTGTCTGGCAGTAAATGTAGTGTAGTCTGTTAATAAAACGGATATTAACAAATGTTGTATCCCCAACTGCTGGAAAGTGAAGGCTGTTAGCGCAAGCTAACATCTTCCAGAGCTTCAGACTCCAGTCTGCAAACTGAGCAAGACTGGATGAGGCGAAGTCTCGTGATTACACACTGTTTACAGATTACAGTCTGTTAGAGGCTCTGAATTACGGTTTTGATTATTATAAATTGTCTAGTCCTACATCATTTACTCACTCAAGTCATGGACAGAGTTTCGGGTTTACAGGGCTCTCGCTCTGCTTTGCTGTGGTCCAGCCAAAAAGCATCCAACGTTATAACAACGACATGTAGTTGAAGACATGCTGTTAGTACTGTGTGACTGACTAAGAAACATTTATGTAATTAGCAACTTTCCTGGCCCAGTGTAGAACTGATGCACTGCAGCAAACAAGTAGAGGCTGCCAATCAGCCTCAATTTATCTACTTTTCTTTTCAGTTCTACTCTGATGATGGATGATACAATGCCAAACAAAGAACCTTAAAATAGCACAATGACGCCTGTACTGTGCAAAATTATTGCCCTGAGAACAAATGTGAGTAATCATCATCTCCACATACTGTAGCATAGAAATCTTGTAAAACAAATTAATGACAGACCAGTCGTTTTCCAGGCCAATAATGCTCTATTTGCATAAAATAAGGGTCATCCATTGGTGAAATATATTTAGTTTAAAACTGTGTTAAGTAACTGGTGATTCTGCATCATCTGATGTAGAGCTGATGTTCCGGAGCACAACCTAACATATCTGTAGCCAATGTTTCTTCTTCAGGAGAAGCCAGAACAACAAAAGTGTAGGCAGCTGAAGAGTGTGTGTGTGTGTGTGTGTAACTGCTTCAGATCCGCTCGTGTCTGTTTGTGTGTACGCTGGACATGTCTATCCGAGAGTGTGTGGGCTCGGAGGGTGATGGTGTGTGGGAGGTATCGAATACAGTGTGCGAACATCCACCAGTTTCTACACGACGACTTGAACACCCGTGTCTCTTTTCAGCCTATAAAACTGTACTGAATAATACACTGAACGTACTGCAGTGACAGTTCAGCACATCTGCATGACATGTCGTCTGCGGGTCCTTGTTATCTCTTTCAAAGATGACCTAGCAGAAAACACAGCATGGGTAGAAAAATACTCTTCTTGGCTGATGCAATCCATGAAAGGTAAATTTACACTGCAGGTAACCATAGCAACTGTAGTACATGGCGAGTGGCGATATCACAAGTTAAACTGACTACGAACAAATGGTTAATAATTAAAAATCCTGTAGTCTTACTTTCTTCGATAGGGAAGCAGTGTTGGGCAGTAACGCGTTACTGTAATAATATTACTTTACCCAGTAGCTAGTAGTTTAAGGCATTAATATTTCCACAACAGTAATATTATTACAGTCATAATCCAAATAATGCTGAATTACCAGGATGCGCTTTGTCTTGTTGTCATTGACGTGCACACGTGCCTCAAACGTAGTTCAGGTTAACCAACAGCTGAAGAGGAGTTATGTTGTTTTTAACATCTTTAAATTAGAAAATCACTAGGGCTGACCCAGAATAGTCGAAGATTTGATGGGCGGAGCCTGATTTGACTGTCAATCTCACAGTCGAATAGTCACAATGGGCCTAAAAAAGTAGAATCATACCATTTTGGCTATACGGGGGACCTCAACGACTCATTTTACATAGAACTCCCGGTTTTCTCCCAATGAGTTAATATACAGCCTATTATGATATTGAAATTGAACATATAGAGCTGTAAATAAAAATTTTAAAAGAAAGAAGCTTTTAATAAATCTTTTTAATAGAGGTGCTCCAAATCAGGATTTTTTGGGCCGACACTGTTCACCGATCACTGGGTCTATATGAAGCCTTTTATTTATCATAGAGCATTATACAGTATACTGTATATTTATTTAATTAGTCCTAAAACAATGTATTAAGTATTAAAATTAACAGATGAAGTATCATGAAATGAAAGCTGTTTATTTTATTGCCAGGAAACATGGGCAACAAATTCAGCTCAATCTGTCTTAGAGACTTAGCAGCCTTTGCCTGGTTACTGTGAACATCTTATAGCTTAACAAATACAGCTTTGCAACAAAAAAAGGCTGCAGCCAAAATATTCAGGAGATTAAAGAGCACAAGCATCATGAGTGGCTTTTTGTTCTGGAAAGCTCAGGCAGGTTCTGTGGGCTTTAGGGGGCAGATAGAGGGGCAGAGAGAGGGAGAGGGGGCTACAGAGAGGAGTGGGCTACGTGCATTCAGTTTTCAGCCACACTGCATGCACGTAAAACTCTGCACAAGACCAGTGAATGACAGGTGAGCAGAGAGAAAATGGTCAAAAATAATACTCAGTTTGGCTGGAAATGTACAGCTTAAGTAAAACCTGTATCTCTGCAGATTCTCAGTCACCCCCACCGCTCAAAAGCACATGATTCAGTTATCAGACTTGACAATTCTGATTCCACTATATAAATCCTAAGGCGAGGACAACCCTAAAAATCACATTTTCAATATCTTTTTTTTTTTTTAAATTGTCACATTTAAAATCCACTGTACATTTTGTGACTATTTCATTTAAAAAGATACTGAAAATGTTATTAGATTTAAAAGATGTTAAAAATAACAACCTACCTTTTTTAATTTTATTCAATGTGTTTTTATTACAATTACTTTCAAATAAAATAATTTTAAGATTTGGTCTTCAGAAAGTATTTTTCCAATAATCAGTCTTGAAAAAGGGGGTTCATCTTATAATCAGGTTCGTCTTATATTCAGACCAATATGGTAATATCATAACTTTTTTAAAGGGGAATAAGTAAAAAAGGTAACTTATTACAGTCCCTGAGTAACTTGCCCAACACTGTTGGTAAGTGGCCATAATTTAAGTGATAACTGTGCCAATATAAAAAATAACAGATTAAATAGAGGAAATGCTACGCCTCATTCATTATTCAGCATTAGGGGTGTGACGAGATCTCATACCATAATATTAAATTATGACAGTCTTTCCCGTCATGTAAAAATCTATCTCGCGAGACTCTCGCAATTGACATTTTTCACACGCTGTCAAGCCACACATTAATTTTCTCACGCAGTGAAATACAAATGTAATTATAACTGATGAGATAGACTCACAGAGCGAATCAACTGCACCTAGCTGATAGTAATCAAGTTAACTTGTGTGTGGATTTGTGGTGAAATTTCTGCCTGATCACAAGTGTTTCAGTTAGTTTCGGTTTCACACGCAGTCCCAAACTGCGTCAGTCAACCGGTGTGACGGGGATAACGTTACTACCAGCGGATCAATAACGTAATGCACAACAGAGTAAAGGGCAGGTAGACTTCTCATTAAATGATGTCTGGTAATATTAGGACTTTTCTCTGGACCTGTCAGAGAACACAGATATGTGGGAGAGATTCTGAATGTGCAGAAAGTTTTAACCATTAGCAGAAAATCTGCTGAAACACATCAAGTCCAGGATTTTCTAACTGAATTAAAATAAATAATTTATCATTGATGTGAAAAGGTGCCGCAGTCACATTTAAAGAGGTTATTTCCCCCAAATAAATAAAAAGAGAGGGAAGACTAAACCATGACTCAGCAGGGAGGATATTACATAAGCTGATCTACAGAAGAAACAGATCTGAAAGCAGCGCAGAGTGACTGAGACTTAGATTCTGGTAAAATTGGGCTATAGAGTTTGAATTGTAACTTGCCACTAGAATTTTGTGTTTCTCTTTACATAAATAAAAAACATTTTCACCATAAACTGGTGTAGAAAAAATCATCAGAATGTAGGAATTTAAATATTTAATGCTCAAAGAAGTCAGCCCTTAAAAATAGTGCTAAAATCTCGTCTCGATCTTGTGGGTTAAGTTTCTCGTCACACCCCTATTCAGCATACCTTGTCATGTATTACCCTTTCTGCATCTGATTGGGTTATATGTTGTTGATCAATTTCATTCAACTTGTAACTTGTACCACTAAATATCACAACCCACCGGGAATTTCAAGACAAAACTGATCAAGCCTATGCCCAAAATTTTCTTCCAGTTACAGCTTGCATGATCTTGAACAAACCTGGTCAACCTTTATGAAACACTAGTATCCTAAATGCCACCACAGGTCAGTTGTTGAATCAATTTAGGTCAAATCTACTGCATCATGTCTCAGAGTTATGATGATAAGATGTCCACAAACATTTACTAATTTAATTCTGTCCAAAATTGCTAATTGCTAATTTTCCACAAATAAACCAACATGGAAAGGAACCAACAGGTTGTTGGCAAAGACACTTCAGCAGGTAATGAATGCAAGATGCTCCCTTTGCTTTATCTAATCTCAGTTTACCTAACGGGCATTACCTGAGCTGCCAGAAAGACAGAAATTATCTGAATATCACGCCCCACTGCAGGACTACTACGACAAGCTTTCATAAACATAACAGACTTCAATATGGAAGTAACTTATGGCTACCCATCAGTTGAGGAGCAATGTTAATTAATGATATGATCATCCTCTGCCTCCTCGGCGTGACATGACTTCTCAAAGCAGAATGGCTTTGCATAAAGTTACTATTTTGCTCAATTTTGCGGTGTGGTTCTTCCATCTTGTTGCCTATTTCATCGCAGTGGAAACGTGTACTTAATAAAAGTTTAAACTAGACAATAAAAATTTAATTGGCCGACTGTGTTACCAGATAAACGGCGATGGCAGCTCCCAGTAACCAGCCGCAGTAGACGTCAACAGGATGGTTTCTGAACTGGATGATCCTGGTTAACCCGGCAAGGATGGCCAGCATGACGAAAGAGAATACCAGGAGAGGCTTCAGCAGCTTGGCTGAGTCTGTCAGCACCGTGTTGAAGTACATCTGAAACACATGATCTACAACTGAAACTGGCAACAATTTAAAATTTCTGCGGCATGATTTTAGGTCAGCTACAAGTCTCACTCTATATGAGTGCGTATCATGAGTGTTTATTAACCACTTACTGAGATGTAGACAGCAGCAAAGGCGGCCAGAGTTGCATGCTGGGAGGGAAAAGACTTCCTATAAAGAAAGAAACCGACAAACACAGAGTGTTCTTTCTGCTAATTATCATGTTCAGACAGCTAAGGACAATGCTGAATAATTATCTGCAAGAGGGCAGTGACTTTCAAAGCAACTTGGAGGTGTGTGTGTGACTGGTGGTAACTCTGCACCAGCAGGTGTTTAATAAATGCAGTTTATGAAGGATACAAGGAGACCAACAACTCCTCTGATGTGTGTTGTGCTACTTCTTGTAGGTAGTGGTGTGGTTGTATTGGTTTACACCGGGGGTTTTCTAACTCTGTGGGGAAACTGAGACAACATCACCACTCCAAAGGTTTTCAACATGCAGCAAATATCAATACAATATACAGATAGAAGACCGTGTCAATGTTCCATTAAATGCCGAATTAGCTATTAGCAGGTCTTGTTTGCAGTGTACCCATGGATGTACAGACAACTGTCACTGGATTACTGTGATACTGAACAAAGATAATATACATATATCTATCTGTTGATCCCGGGGAAATGTAAGTAACAGTGAATGTGAAAATTTACTAACCATGTCAGTGTGCTCAAATTTGACTGAGACTCAATGACGGCAATGGAGAAATTCTTCTTCTTTTGGAAGTGCAGAATGTCAAAGCACAAATACACAGCTCCACAAATATGTTACCAAATACATGGATATACATTCATAAAGGTTCAGAGTTTCCTGTCCCGTTTCCTGAGTGTGAAGTTGTTTTTCTGACTGTGAAATCAACATGGACGCTGCTACAAAGATGTGCTGGATTAACATTATCAGAGCAATGTATATTTATACTTTATGTAATATAGACCATCCCTAGCAAAGTTTTTATTATTTGTATCTTCTTATATATTTGTATACTGTTCTGTAGACTTCTTTAAGTATGTAAACTTTATTCCTGTTTTTGCAATAAATATGTAAGGAGGGAAAACAATTCTAATTATTCCGACAGCACATGAATGCACCATCGCATTAATAACACGTGTGGTCCTCCATTTGTCCAAATTTCACTTCTCATCTTACTTCTAATAAAGCAAACGACGACTACTAATGTTACTTGTTCTTCTTCGTACATATTTAACATAGCGCTCTGTCGAGCAATTTGACCAACTGTGGAAACATGGCTGTGAAACATGGTGACGTCTATGAAGGGGGACCTGCGGTGTATGTAGATAGAAATGGCTCATTCTAAGGTAATAAAAACATAACGGTTCATTGCATAAGGTCTTTATACACCACTGAAAAGATAGCTATGGATATTATTTTGCATTTCTGTCAATAAATCCACCTAAATGTGACACACTGGACCTTTAATTCGTATACATGGTGCAAGAGACACTGGCAAGTTACGTTGGAAGACGAGCATGTATGTACAGTTAGGATACAACTGCACTGTTCACTAAAAAGATTAAACCGGTTACATTCAATAAGTTATATCTAATTAAATATGCGCAAAAATAAGGTCACAACTATATTGAGAGAAAAGCAACAGTCTGTTTAATCAAATTACACATTTGCATAAAGAAATCTCCCTGTAATAATACTGTTTACATGACAGAAAAAACTGTTGATGTTGATTATGCAGAGGACATGGAGTTTTGAGATTTAATAATATTTTAGAAGGAGCTCAGGATGCGTCCACAGAACACCTGCTGTACTCCACAGTTTCACTGTACAAACTAAGAATCTATGTGGAACAGCTCACCAGTCTGGTGAGCACAGAACATTCAGTATCACTTCTCCTCAAGCCAGCTGCTGTGTCAGAAGGTTTGACTGAAGCATCCACACTGTGTCGGTCAATAATTGTGCAGTGTGTTTTGATAAAATGTTATGTCTATGAGAGAGATCTGTATGTGTGCTTCTGCCTTATAATGTCAAAAAATTGCTTTGTACACGCTATGATAATAACAACCTACGTGGGTGACAAAATTGCACTGTGCTCCGTTGTAGCACTCAGTCCTACGTAGTATTGCAAGTAGGTCATCTAAAGCCACAATATTAGAAATATAAGAAAGACGGATGCACAGATGGATACAGATGAATGATGTGAAACCAGCCAGTCACTTTCTCCTCTGCAACTATTTATCAAATGGTAATAAATACAGTGCTACCTCATCTCTAACTGATCAAAAGCAAATGTCTGATTGATTAAGTAGATTATACCTAAAGTTCAGGAACAAGACCACGCCTCTCTCTCTCTCTCTCTCTCTCTAATCCATCCACCTGCACAAACGTATATAAGCCCGTCTAACCCCTTTCTCTCCAGTTTGTCTCAGTTCTCACATCCCTCCCACCCAAACCCTGTTTCTCTCCTCTCTCAATTATTAGCGCGGTGACCCAGTGGGCCAGTGGACAGCACTGTGTCTCACAGCATGTAGGTCCTGGGTTCAGACCTCGGTCATCCCGGGCCTTTCTGTGTGGAGTTTGCATATTCTTCCCATGTTTGCGAGGGGGCTTCAGTTTCCTCCCACCATCAAAGACACGCGTGCTAAAATTCATAACTACACTGAAGCAATTGTTCTTTTTTTACCACAGGAATCACAGGGGGATCATAAAGCAAGACGTTTATAGAGACGTGCTCCCACCCTGAGTCTCAACGGCAGGGTCCCTAGCTGCTCCGGCCACCACAACCCAAATCTACCCCCTTCATCCCTACCATCACTACCCGACCCGTCCTATCCCTCCTAAACCTTCTCGCTAACCAAATAAACTTCCCTTTTGTATCTTTCATGCAGCTTTATATTGATGAAGTTTGTGAAGCACTGGAGACAAGCTTCCTGCATTCTCGGTGCATTCATGTGGTGAAGAAGGGAATAGAAGCCACGGTTAAATAAGCTGCCGCTGTGGCTGTCTGGTCTCCTGAAGTGACATTTATAGTGAGAGGCAGAGCTGCACGTTGAGAGCAGCCTTCAGCTTCAATTTGCAATGTGACACGCAGCCGCAGTCGGATCGAGCAAACACAGTTTTCTTTTAAAGGTAGAAAGAGCAGGATTGTCCTAAAAAAAAACAAAGTATAGCCTTATACAAAAACAATCCCTCTCAATTAAGGCTGCAACTAACAATTATTTTCATTGTCGATTAATCTGTTGATGATTTTCTCATTTAATCGATTACCTGTTTGGTTTATAAAATGTCAGAAAATTGTGAAAAATGTCAGTGTTTCCCAAAGCTCAAGAAGACGTCCTTAAATGTCATTTTACTCTGATAGAGGAGGAAATAAAACAGAAACTATAAACTTCTAAGAAGCACGAATCAGATTTGTTTTCCTTTAAAAAATGACTCAAACCGATTAATCAATTATCAGAATAGTTGGCGATTAATTTAAAAATGATTAGATTTATTGTTGCAGCAGTACTCTCAATCATCACTGATGATCCACGTCCGTGATGGTGTCGCTGCCCTCTGCCTGTGTTTGCTGCTTTCAGGAAGTTTCCGTTTATTTTATTTCTTAGATTATTTGTAACACATGAAAAAATCAACTCCACATGGTGCCTAACAACTAGTCTACTAGGAGTGCAATGGAAAGGTACTATGTGTATCCATGTATTTGGATTATAGCAGAGAGCATGGCTTATACAGGAAGTTGTTAAAAATGGTGTAGTCTGCTTCATTCTCTGTATTAAATTGATTTCTACTTCCATTTACTCCTCATACATACATCTATAAGTTTTGCTACCAACAAAATAATACAACATTTTAAATGTGTACCTGAAATAATTTAATAATAACACATTATTTGTATTCAAACCCCACCTTCAAATCCAGCAAACTACTTTGAAGCAGCCCAACCTGAGGTCGCAGCTATACTGAAAGTTCTGCTGTCACTAGTTATGCTGTTCATCCAGCACCATCCACCTGTTGGCTCTGAGTCACTCTCTACTCCCTCCTATGTTGATCTTGATGATTAGTGTTTTTATTTTTTCAAAACATCTGACTTGACAGTGACTTAGGGGACCACTGGCCTGCCTCTGACTTGTCAAAGACTTTCTCCTGACTCAAGCAGTTAGCAGATACTTTTAGCTTTGGGATTATTTGTGAATACATCCTGATGTAATCAACCAAAATACGTGAAAAACGTGAACGGCCGTGTTGTCAGCAGTACACATTGTAGCACATGACCTTGATTGACATTGTGTACAGTGTTCAGCTCATATTTTCTGTTTCAGCACTTGTCCTGAGAGCAGATTTGTAACCATAACAACAGCAGAAAAATAGTGTAGGACCGAAGCCTGTGCATTAAAAACTACTCCATAAACACACATTCACAGACACCCACACACATCCTCTGACACACTCACTAGTAGGGCTGAGCATCCATCCATTATCTGTAGCTGCTTATCCGTGCAGGGTCACGGGGGGGTATACCCTGGACAGTTGCCAGTCCGTCACTGGGCACACAGAAACGAACATCCACTCACACTCACATTCACACCTAAGGGTTGATTTCAGCACGTCTTTGGACGGTGGGAGGAGAGAACCCATGCAGACACAGCGAGAACATGCAAACTCCACAGAGAAAGGCCTGGGACGACCAAGGACTGAACCCAAGACCCTCTTGCTGTAAGGTGACAGTGCTTAGGGCTGAACAGTTACCAAAATTGCACTATGACCTACTGCAGGCAGGTGCAATATTTGTTAAAGGTGAGTGTGTGCTGTCAAAATACTACTTTAATTAAGTAATGTCCTGCTGCAGAGATGTCCTGGCATACATATTCTACAGATTTAAGAAAACATCAACATTAAATATGTTTGTCAATGGAAATGAGAGTAATTATGTAAAAAAATATCATTCCCCGCAAATCGAATCGCAGTTGCAGTATCAGTCAAAATAATCGCCTTTAGATATTTTTTTCAGAATCGTTCAACCCTGTTAACTAGTCCACTCACACGAGTCAAGACTTACCTCCCAGCATTGATGAGCCCGGTGTCTTGTCCAGAGCAGATATCCTCCAGAATAAAAGCTTCATCACAGGTGGACAAGTTTATGTGGGTCAAATTGGGTTTACATACATCCAACCAGTAGGGGGTGTGTTGACCGGTAGACAGCTGGAGAATATCAGTTATCAGTGCTGTCACACACAGGCCAAATATATGGACACCTGTAAAAAACACAATACATGTAACAACAGCAAACGCGGAATTAGTAGAAGATGGGACTTTTTCTGTTTCCACCAATATTCTGTTACAGCCTGTTATTTCTGTTTCTGTGGTTTGTTTCAGTCACAGAAAACTTGCGTATAATCGCTCGTGGGTGTAATTCATGTGTCCTCCCACCTATGAAGCGTACCGCCCTGCGAATGTAGGAGTTGAAATTACAGCCTGCAGCGTTGATGTTGGCCTCAGTCTGTGTGGCTGATGACCTCCTGGACAGATAGCAGTACAGAATGGCCTCACCTATTAGAATCTACATACAGACAAAGACAAAGAAAACATAGTTGGCACTGCAGATTTATATCGCCAGATAAATCTGTCTCACTGGATGCATTAAATATTACTGCAGAATTTATTATTGCCACTTTATGACTAATATCTGAATTTGTCTTCCACATCTTATCCAGGGGTCGGGTCGCTGGGGCAGCAGCTCCCCCAGGGAACCCCAAACCTCCCTTTCTCGAGGCACATTAACCAGCTCTGACTGGGGGATCCCGAGGCGTTCCCAGGCCAGTGTGAAAATGTAATCTCTCCAACTAGTCCTGGGTCTTCCCTAAGGCCTCCTCCCAGCTGGACGTGCCTGGAACGCCATCATTACCAGATGCCGAACCACCTCACCTGGCTCTTTTTGACGCAAAAGAAGCCAGCCACCCTCCTGAGAAAAACCATTTTGGCCACTTGGCCACTTTTGACCAGTAAGGGCTTTGCTTTCTGGCTCAGCTGTCTTTTCATAACAATGGTGCGGTAAAGCGAATGCTATACAACCAACGCTGCTCTGATTCTCCGGCCAATCTCCCGCTCCACTGATCCCTCAGTCGTCAACAAGACCCCAAAGTACTTTAACTCCTTTACATGGGGTTTGAGACTCATCCCTTTCCCACAATGAGCACTTCATCATTTTCCTGCTAAGAACCAATAAACAGACCAATAAAGTTTGACAAAAAGAGCTGGAACTGGTCGGCCGTGATCAGTGACAGGGCCGATCAGTCTCACATGTTCGATTCTGTGCTGGTCACATTTACCCGCACATTCTTCTTCTTCACATTCATTTATTTTTAGGGGCATGTGCGAGTGAAATACCAGACAATATTAGCCTATTGCAGATATGTCAAGTCTGTGTATGTGTTGGCTGATGAACAACATAAAATTGCAGTACAGAAATGTAAGATATGGTTGAGGTAATTTATCAACAGTGGGATGCGCAACAAACATGATATTTGTTTACTTTATTTGTATATGTAAAACAAATTATTGTGACGTTATTATTGGCTGATATATCGTTTATATATATATATATATCGAAATTTTGGAGATTCATAAATGTCAGCCTCAAATATCCAGCACCTCTATTACCAAAATAAGCAAGCATATTGGCACAATGATGGCAATTTCCTGATACAATAATGCCAGATGTACAGAAGATGTGCACAGATACAGTAAATAATGCTTGTATAGACACTGTATCTAAAAAAAATAACATTGCAGTATTGGTTGGGCTGTAGAAGCAGTTAGTAATTAACACATTTTTTACAAAGCCCTGGAGCAAACGTTTACAAAATGAAAAATTGAATACCAGATTCTTCGACCTCTGGGAAGTCACAGAAATTCTGAACAGGGAATTTAAAATATTTCAAGGCTTTTATTCAGCTACCTACCTACCACAACATCACCTTTAAACTAAATTGAAAATAGACAAGAAGGCATTCCTGAGAGCTGAACTAGGCAATTTCAACACAATCAGGACGTCCTTGTAAATAAGAATTTGTTCTTAAGTGTCTTTCCTGAGTAGTTAAATAAGAAGAAATAATAATTAAATAAGAAAAATTTCACTCGACAACTGGCAGTTAAAAGAATTATAGTCAACATGGTTAAAATGGCTGTTAGTTTTATTACCTGATATCAATCAATGTGTTAGCCACAGGTAGATACTACACAGGTGGAGACAGAAGGGGTGGAGGTTTACTTACAGTGACGGTGGGAGCGGCAAATGCCAAGCTGAAGAGTAGAGGCAGTGGGCAGACTTCCTGTCTGGGCAGGATGTAGGGCAGAGACAGACTGCGGTCATTACAACTGTACCCAGAATGCACCGGCTGGAAAATATCTGTCAGCTCCAGGAAATAAAGACTGACAACAGAGGAGGCCAGGATAGGGAGCTGCAGTAAAGAAACAACAACACAAAATAATTAGGAAAAGTGTTCTGCTGGAGATGAACAAGAACTTAAAATAAAATAGTAAATACTATTATACTATACTTCAGATTAATTCAGTAAATGTCTAATCAAAGAACAAATAAAAAGGGTACAAAAGACATGTGATGTTCAATGCCAGTTTTTGGAGCTTGACTTCAATACTTGTTGCTACTGACACATTTTGGGCGGCACTGAAAAGGTCCCGAGGTTTCATAGCCAGCCCAAAAGGCCCACTAGACACCAGCATTGGCGAAGAAAAGAAACACCTTTTCAAAGCTGAGCATTAAAAACAGTAAATACAGGTAAACAAGAACATTGTTAAACTTCCAGTAAGGCAGGGTAAAGTTAGGGCTAGGTGCAGTTCGAATTAGGTTATTTTGACCGTTTTCCTGCCAAAATTAGTTTGAAAGTTTTCCCTCCTACTAATCATTTGTTTTTTGTAAAGGTAGCAAGCCGTTTCAACAGTTTTTACACCACCACAGACAAAAACATCAACAGAGCACCTGTGATATAACAGTAGATTTTAAGGGGCGCTTATACCTGCAAACAACTCTGTTAGGTGTAGCTAGAAAATTTCTAATTTGCTCAACAGGATGTTGCCTTGGTGCAGCTGAGGAGGGGTGAACAAGTGTCAACCAATATGGCTAACCAATATTTTTACTACTTCTACTACTAAGTACTTGGTTAGGCACCAAAACTACTTGGTCAGGATTAGGCACCAAAACTATTTGGTTAGGATTAGGCACCAAAACTATTTGGTGAGGTTTAGGCACCAAAACTACTTGGTGAGGTTTAGGCACCAAAACTACTTGGTGAGGTTTAGGCACCAAAACTACTTGGTGTGGTTTAGGCACCAAAACTATTTGGTGTGGTTTAGGCACCAAAACTATTTGGTGAGGTTTAGGCACCAAAACTATTTGGTGTGGTTTAGGCACCAAAACTACTTGGTGAGGTTTAGGCACCAAAACTACTTGGTGAGGTTTAGGCACCAAAACTATTTGGTGTGGTTTAGGCACCAAAACTACTTGGTGAGGTTTAGGCACCAAAACTACTTGGTGAGGTTTAGGCACCAAAACTACTTGGTGAGGTTTAGATACCAAAACTATTTGGTGAGGTTTAGGCACCAAAACTATTTGGTGAGGTTTAGGCACCAAAACTATTTGGTGAGGTTTAGGCACCAAAACTATTTGGTGAGGTTTAGGCACCAAAACTACTTGGTGAGGTTTAGGCACCAAAACTATTTGGTGTGGTTTAGGCACCAAAACTACTTGGTGAGGTTTAGGCACCAAAACTATTTGGTGAGGTTTAGGCACCAAAACTACTTGGTGAGGTTTAGGCACCAAAACTACTTGGTGAGGTTTAGCCAAAACTATTTGGTGAGGTTTAGGCACCAAAACTATTTGGTGAGGTTTAGGCACCAAAACTATTTGGTGAGGTTTAGGCACCAAAACTATTTGGTGAGGTTTAGCCAAAACTATTTGGTGAGGTTTAGGCACCAAAACTATTTGGTGAGGTTTAGGCACCAAAACTACTTGGTGAGGTTTAGCCAAAACTATTTGGTGAGGTTTAGGCACCAAAACTACTTGGTGAGGTTTAGGCACCAAAACTATTTGGTGAGGTTTAGGCACCAAAACTATTTGGTGAGGTTTAGGCACCAAAACTATTTGGTGAGGTTTAGGCACCAAAACTATTTGGTTTTAATTCAATTATAAAGTAAAATTTCTGGTTCCAGCTGCTTAATTGTGAGGATTTGCTGCTTTGGTTTATGTAGTATTATTATACATTGAATATCGTTTTATATACATTTTTTAAACTATTTTATGACATTTTATAGACTGAGCAATTAAAAATTAAAATATTGCAACATCAATCAATAGAGAAAATAATCGTTAGAGGCAGCCCTAACTGGTGGCATTAAAAGCACAATGATTGCTTGATCATTACCAAATTCTTCCCTAGACCCCTGCACAGATGCATCATGACAATTCTGAATGGCTTTACCTAAATGTGGATGTTTCTGGAGATAGAGGCTGCATCATGCCTTGCTTCCCTGCTGTTCAAATGATCAACTACACAATCTGCCTATTTGCCTGAGGCGCCCACATTCCTGATTGCAATAGTTATGTCATATTGACTGTGAAATGCTCTCGTTTTCTACTGCCTGCAAGTCAGGATTACCCACCATGGTGCCTATAATTTTCTTGTGATCCCTAGCATTACACATTTACAAATTCTTACCTCTTGACAGCCTGACAACACCAAATTATTAAAAGTCAGTATGCCTGAGAGTTTAACAAATTCACAAAGTAAAGATGTAAATGTGATTTGGCAATGTCATAACATTGAATAAGAATCTACAGCCAAGCTAGAGAGGCTGTGCTTAAATCAATATTCTTTAGTTAAATGCTAACGCCAACATTAGCAACATTATTGATTATTAATCGAGTAATCAATTACTTGTCAACTATTAAATTAATTGCCAAATATTTGGATACTCAATTAATAGGGTTTTTTTGTTGATCCTAGCTTCTTAAATGTGAATATTTTCTGATTTCTCTCCTCCTTAGTGACAGTAAACTAAATATCTTTGGGTTGTGGACAAAACAAGACATTTAAGGACGCCATCTTGGGCTTTGGGAAACACTGATCGACATTTTTCACCATTTTCTGACATTTTATAGGCCAAACAACTAATCGATTAATTGAGAAAATAACCAACAGATAGCCTTAACGACAATGAAAATAATCATTATTTTCAGCCCTAGTCAGCATGACAAAATGCTTACACTGACAAATGCTAGCCTGCTGACGTCAAGCAGGTATAAAATACCATGTTCATCTTAATTTAGTGAGTTAGCATGCCAACATTGACTAATTAGCACCAAACACAAGGGCTAAGGCTTATGTTATTTGTTTTGCAGGTATTTTGTCATGAATCAAAGTGTTGGACAAATATAAATTCTGACCTGATATATATAATGCTATATGAAACATTAGGGAATCACCCAAATTATTACTAATTATCCTGTGGGAAACATGAATGTCTGTACCAAATGTCAAAGCAATCAAATCAATTGCTGTTGACACCAAGCGACCAACCAACATTATGCCATCCATGGAGCCATGTGCGTGGCCTACACTGGATTCATTTATTATTATTAACATTACATTTAAAGCATTCTGCATCTATACTATTTCTTCTTTTCTATCCTTCAAAATCCTTGCATTTAATCTAGATTTAGATTAATAGGCAAGTACAATGGTACTTTTTTTATATTTCTTTGTATTATTTTGATGATTCCCTGCATGCAGGAATGATATCTGTATTTATTCCCGGTGGGGAATAAAGTGTAGGAGGGTTTACAAAACAATTTCATGGCTATCAGTCAATAGTACCTGCAGTAATGCCTGCTTCCTGCCCTAAGGTGCTGTTCACCCACCTACAAGAATTTCAATACTCAGCCTTTGAAAGCTCTGAGGGAACACTTCATGCTTTCACTCATTTCTTCATGGAAATAGCAAATAAAAAAATAAATCTATCTAGACAGCATATCACATTACTACCATGTGAAACCTCAAGATGCCAATGACCCATGCTGGTCATACTGGTCAGTGGCCAGCAACTACAACACATTTTGGCCACTACAACCTAGAGTGTCCAGTGTCCAACATTAACGGTGGTGCTAATTAAATTAGTTGTGGAGGGTTGTCCTTGTATCAGCTACATCACTATATGAACCTTTATTACAGCTGAATGTTATTTCATTCTAGATTGTCAAAGCTTTCAGTTCAACAGTCTTGATGAGGTCCAGCAGCCTCCAGACATATCAATTACATTTCTACGTAAGTACACAGCTCCTATATGTGCAGGTCACTATTAAACCTTATGAAGTTGATTTAGTTGGTTTATCAGTGAATTTAACGGTGTAAGGCAATACAGCAATCGCACTTGGGTGCAGATGAAACAACCGTACCGAGACCCAGCTGAAGAGATGGACTCGGCTCGTTTCAGGTGTCAACGCGGCCCGACCACGATCCGACCAAATTGCAGAAAGCACTGCGCCTTCTTTGGAGGTAACAGGCTCTCATAGTCAGTGCAGATCTTTAATTACACTGATAACTGCCTCATGTGCAGACAAATCTAGAGACAAATACATTGTGTGCCTAGGCAGAGTGTGACAGGGTCACAGGGATTTTTTATTATGTAATTAGGGGTGATGAAATGGCTAAACATGACTCATTAGTGATAGCAAAATACTTAGCAGTATGCAGTAATCTTAGCAGTAATAAATTCAGCCTGCCACGGCAGGTGCACATAAGCAGGGCTCCAGAGTACGCCCAATTTGGTTCAACGTGCGCCCAAAAGCCTGTCGAGTGTGCGACTACATTTTTGTTTTGGCCTCACAGGTACACCTAACATTTCACAGGACAATTTTGTGTCAGTCGCATCTCTGTCTATGTGTGTGTTTTCCCCAAAACTCACTCGTGGAAGAAGGTGAAAAAAGCAAGAGAAGGGGCGCTATATTTTGTACTCATGCGGTGACTCGCCGCTGATACCTATGGTGTTGGCAGCGCACGTAATCTCGCATTTACACTTGTGTTGTGTCGCTCTACAGATACACCGCCAAAACGCTAGTTGGCGGTGGGGTTTCTATGTTCGTCTGGTGAGCCGGCTAACCGGTTTAGCCCACCACTAACTCGAATGGAGGTAAAATAATAATTGTGCAGCTCTTCTAGACTTTCCACATGTTATCGACCGAATGGATCCAATTCTGATGGGTTGTGATACTCAAAAGAAGGTATCCACCGTTTTACAGCCGCTAGTTTGGCTGAAAGTAAAACTGGCTTCAAAGCATGGAGAACTTCCTGGTAGCTTGGAGGAAATGCGTAGCGTATATGGTATAGTTTGGTTTTTGAATCTAAAGCTTCCTGCTTTTCCCCGCTCCACAATTTCTGTCCAAAGA